ATATATATATATATATATATATATATATATATATATATATATATATATATATATATATATATATATATATATATATATATATATATATATATATGTATATATATATATATGACTATAAACAATTCATAATATATCGTCAGCTTTCATTGATTTCATTCATTCCAGATCAACAGTTGTCTCGTGAAAAGGAGTTGCACTCGTGCGGGTGGTTACTCCTTCCTTGGTACTTGGGTGTTATTGGGAGAGAAGTGTGTTGCCAGCTACGGAGTTTCTTACGTGTAAGTTTATGGAGCCATTTGGAAGTTTCATTTTCCAGCACGAAGTAGTGCATTTTTTAGAAATTTGTTCATTAACAGAAAGAAGGTGAGAATTCCTCTTCTCTTCCTCCCTAACCTTCATTTTTGTACATTTAGAGAGATTGTAATAAAGTGTCGATGACAATTTTTAAAATTCATTTGTTGATCACTTTAAACCTGAGTAAGACATATTTCTCATTTGAAATTATTTCTGTAAAGGAATTACAGATAGTAAGAAAGATTTAATTATTTTGAAATTCCTAAAGCAGGGATAGAATTAGAATGCCAGTGTTCAACCTTTATTTATTTCAATTCAACCTTTATTCTATTTATTCCAAATTTTCCAAACTTGAAAAATTATATTACATGTACTTCTGTTGGAGGTTAAGTTCATTGTTATTTGTATAAAGGTCGTGCTTAGCGGTCAGTCTTCCATCTAATTCTTAAGTAGATAATACCACTCGGCCATGGTCGTTTGTCACATCTATCCTTTTTTAACAAAACAATGCTCTTCACCATTTTTTGCCTACATTAAAAAAATATCCCTGATTTGAAATTTGTGTTTCAGTTTTTATTTGGAGTAATTGAATAGTAATGATTCCGCAACATATGGAAGAAAATCTTCATTATCGCGAATTACATTTAAGACCTATAACTTTTCAAAGAAATACATTGGGTATACGGAATTTTTTGGATCGTCTTGGTCATAGTAAAACACTGAAAGTTAGCACTTATTTTCATTCTTTTTATTGATCTGTTCTTATTTTAATCATGAAGCAAGCTTTTGACAATGTCTGGACTACTTCGAAAGCTATTAGACTACGCTATGCACTAGTAAGATCTCATTTGCTGCTTACATTGATATCTTTTATAAAATAAAAATATAAGCATTTGTAGTGGAATATTATCTCAGTTGGGACAATTCACATGAAAATTGGATATCTGACAAATTCAGTGTTATTCACTGTCTATGACTCTTTTTGTAAGCGTCCTTCGACCTGTAGCTCCTTTTACAATGAGAATTGATTTAGTTTAAATGGTTATTATGCCGGACTTGTATCTTAATCAGAGATGTAAATATTAAAAATTGAAATAGAGTAGCTTCAATCTGGTGAACGTAGAATGTCTATTGAAGCTAGAATAGCTGTGGAGTTATCTCCTTGGAAATGATGAATATGTAAAGAAATTGATGTTGGAATTTAAGAGTAGTAAGCTTTTTACATGAAATACCAAAAAATGATGCAAAATATTTCACTCCATTTTTGAAAAAGTTTGGACCCTTATTAATTGCAGGGTCATGAAGGCTGTGTGAATTGCTTACAGTGGAATACTTCAGGAAGGTTAATCTTTGATTTCATTACTTCCAATACATTCATTTTTAAAACTGGGGAGAAATTATGATCATTATTACAGCTTATTAGCTAGTGGTTCTGATGATATGCAAATTCGTTTGTGGAGCGCGGAAGGTAAAGCTTTGCACTGTATCAAATCCGGTCATATGAATAACATATTTTCGGTGCAGTTTTTACCAAGTGGAAGCGATGATTTACTGATAAGTGCCGCAGGTAATCAACATTTAATAGTTATTTGTTTAATTGATTAGTACCGGCAACACTCCTAATCGGTTGGATTTTCTTAAACAATTACGCATTGAATTGTTCGAACTGCCATAGCACTCCCTTCACTTTATTTCTCATCACTTTATCTGTGTTAATAGATTTTCAACATTTCTAAACACTTCTCAGTTTTCCCGGCTTTTTTTACCGAAATTTCGCCATAGTTTTCTGAAATATCAGTGGAAATCTTTTGATGCGACTTCGATAATTTTTTTGACAGTTCCATTTTTTCATTATCCAAGAAAATGGAAACCCTAATTACATTTAAAATTCAGTTTTAATGATAAAGTAAAATTTGCATGAGAATAGCATGAAGGCTGCAAAGATTTTGTAGAAATTAAGTGGTGGTAAAAGTAGTAGTAGTAGTAATAGTAGTTAGGATCGAAATTTGAATTGAAATACTGAAATTTCCATTCAAAAACTGTTAATTGTGTATTTCAGGTGACAGTAATGTAAGGATGCATTCGATTGCTCGCTCTGATGTGCCTTACGTATGGTGGTCCGGAGGTCGTGTAAAGCGTTTAGCCATAACGCGTGCTGATCCATATCTATTTTGGTCTGCTGCAGAAGATGGTTATATCAAGTAAATATTCAAATGTTCACATAAGGTACCCTAGGCAGCAATTTCAAGAAGAGTAAGGATCTTCCTAAAGTTTCCAGTGTCATTAAAATGAGCTTCTTATCTTACTCATCAAACCCATTCGTTGTTGAAATTAACTGTTAACAAATTCATTAATTGATGGATTAAATGTTGCTGTTTAATCATTTATATTATCTTTCTATGTCAGCAATCGATATTAGACCGTGCCCGATGTATTATTTTTTCGTGATTCAGTAGGACGTTACAGTGCTTTTTGTTTCACAGGAATGCTATTTGAATCTACTTAATCAGAACTCTCAATACAAAACCGGTCAAAAGTTGGTATATAGGGTTGTATATGACTGCAGGCAGTATGACGTTCGCACCGCTAAAGCTACAAGTTTAATCAAATTTGATCAGAAGGAGTGTAAATCGTTGGCAATAAATGAAAATCGTCCGGAAATGATTGCGGTTGCATTAAATGAAGCTCCTGTTCCTCTTTATGATCGAAGGAATGTATCGGAACCATTATTTACTGTTATTCCAGGTATTTGCTTCCTGTCACGGTATCTGTTGTTATTTTCAGTTTGTTTATAATTGAGCGATTTTATACTATTTGTTGGGTATTACGTAACAGTGTCAGTATGAGTGTCATTATGATTATATCATGGTTCACACTGATTACCTGGTTATAAACTTGGTGTTCTTTGTATAACAAGGAATAAATTGCATTTTCTTTTATTTTTTAATTTTCAGGTAATCCATGCGTTTTGTATTATCAGCGGAAATCAATTTAAGTCTCTTCTAGGTTCACCTTATTGACGAACAGTTTTCTTGCAGGTCACATTCCAATCTCTGATTCATCCTCGCGTCACGCGTTTAGGACACTATCGGTGACCCATGTTGGCTTCAATTCTTTAGGCAACGAACTTATTGTTAATATCGGCGGGGAACAAATTTACATATTTAATGTTTTTGATCGGTAATTTTTTATTTCATGTAACTTCGGTTGAAATTTTTCTTGGTTTCATTCTTAATTGAAACTTCTTATATGTTTAATAGTGAATTCGATCACTATAATGCCGATTAACGCCTGAAATATTGCTGCTATTTCAGCATGTTTTACTTTTTTGGAAAGCTTTTTAAATGGCATAAATTAGGAGAAAACAGTAAGTAATGGAAGAAGTAAAGAGTTAGCACTGATAATCTGCGCATAAGTCAACTATTTCAATATTTGATAAATTGGAATCATTTAAAAATGAATGATTCAAATGAAATATGGAATAAAATACAAACTATTCATTTTTTTCGGGTTTCTACATTTTTTTTTAGAGCACATGAACCAGATGCTTTGCAATCACTGAACAGTTTTATTGATGATCCTGTTCGAAATTTATCGGACAACGGCGGTTTTCCTGGCTTTGATAAAACAACAACGGAAGTTTTTAGAGGAGAACGTGAACAAGCAAAAATTCATTTCAGTAATAAAGAATATACTGATGCGATTAATACTTATAGTCGGACAATTCTCGATTGTGAGAAATTATGTGGGTGAGTTTCTTGCTTCAAATTTTACATTAAACTTAACGCATGTTAGATTTTGATACATTATGCTTTTAATATGGATTTTCATCGGGGCACCAAAATTTATTGCTTTAAAGAAATTCGAGTTTCGATATCAACTTTCTAGATTTCATCCTCATTAGAAAGAATTTCCACTGGAAAATGACAAAAATAGACTATAAAATTTATTTTTAAAAATGTACAAGATTTTCTTGCAAAACACAGATGACCAGGAATTATTCGGGATTTTTTCTAAAAATACATTTGGCTAATGTTTCATAAGTTTTTCTTTTTGCAACGAAAATTTTCTTTTGGCATTTCCTTCCGGGAGTTAAAATTTCAATTAGCTAATTGCGTTTAGACGCGATCCACCACGTGGGCATCCTCATTCGATGGATTTGTGTTTGTTGTTAGCAAATCGTGGAGCGAGCTATCTTCGAAGGTTATGGGATGGCGACGCATATGCCGCACTACTAGACTTGATACGGGCCTTGAAAATTGAACCAAGAAATAGCAAAGTACATTATCGGATTATTAAAGCCTTGACTGAATTGAAGCAGTATGATATGGCGAGGAAAATATCAAAACTATTCAAGGTTAATTTTTGGAAGTTGTCAAGTAGTTAAAATTCATTGGTTACTGGCATCTCCAGACTGTTATCAAATCATTAATCGAACTGAAACAAATAAGATATAGTGAGAGAAGTTCCGGAACTATTCAGAATCCTTAAATATTGATTGTGGATATAAGCTATGACTAAAATTCAGGTTTTAGAATTATTTTAAAATCATTGGGGCTTTGTTTAAATTACTTTTTCTGATTTAATTTGATAGTTGAGAACGCTGATTTATAAATTTAATTCATTCCATTTGGTTGATGTCCTGGCTTAAGCAGTTCATCGGGACCTATAAATCTAGTTATAGCAGTATATAACTGGCGCTTCGCTTTTACATTAGCATTTAATATCAGGATAGAATGTATTGCTTCATATGGAATATTGCTGTGAAAATGTCGTTCCAAGCTTTTGGAATTCTGGAAAGAATCTCTTTCAGGAACGCTTTCCGGATGATCATTCTTGCGATAGACTAGATGCCGTATTACGAACTGATCCTGCGGGACAGAAAAGTTGGACTTCAAATGGTTGTTCAGATTACGTTCAACGATTATGTGGTCATTGCAATACCAATACTGACATAAAAGTGCGCTTTATGATAGATTTTCTATGAACTTTTCCTTGGTTCTTCTTTCTTATCTTCGTTCGTTATATATATACACTTTACGACACATACGACACTTTTCACAAATTTATGTAAAATTATCACAATTTAATTACCAGGAAGCTGTTTGGTTTGGTGGTAGGGATGAGTATATCGCGGCAGGTAGTGACTGTGGTTCGTTGCTAATTTGGGAAAGGAAATCGGGTGCTTTGGTAAAAGGATTTGAAGCAGATATGAATATTTTGAATTGTGTACAACCTCATCCATCAATTTTATTGCTTGCAACCTCCGGAATCGAACATGTCATTCGGTTTTGGGAGCCGCTTAATGAGGATGTTCAAAGGGTTCGTTTTCCCCATTATCTAAAATGTGTCCGATTTTTGTTGAATTAGCTTCATAGTTTCGAAACATTCAAAACTATTTCCGGTTGTTAGTCTTGGATGTACTTTTTTTGGTCGGCTCAAGTTGGTCATGAAATTTATCATTAAGCATCGTCGATATAGTTACTATTTAGATAGTAATAAATTTCCTTAGTTTTCTTCATAAGATAGCGAAAAAATACAATATAATGAGGATTTAAGGCGTTATTAAGGTGAACTAAGATGGGAATTTTGAAATTTGTTGACTGAAATACCACTTCTAATTTGGTGGTTTAGCTTTTCGAGGTCAAGAGTCCAGAGAAATCTGCTTTCTCTGATACTTCTTTTAAGTTTTCAAATTTTTTAGGCATGGAATTATCAGATCTTTATGAATTTGAGTAGATTCAGAAATATTGTGCTAGCTGGTGCAGACTGTTAAAAGTTCAACTCTGACAGCACTTTTTCTATAAAATGCACTAAATCTCCATTTTTTTTTTTTTTGTAGGAGAATAGAGGAACAGGACGTGAATTACACCGTCTTACGGCTCTATCGGCGGCAAATCAGAAGCGAATGCATACAGGTATATTCGATATGGTAGTTGCATCTATAGGACTTGCTGTGCAGGGTGCCGATGATAACGACATTGAACGTGGAAGGCGGATTGGTTGCAATGCAAGTTAGAACAGATCCTTTGACTTTTTAACTGTTAGTAATTAGCATAATGTATCATATTATTGAAGTACAATGGAAATTCTAAGTCTATGGGGAAGAAAAGATTTTATTTTTCACTCTCAGTAGTCCACTCATGGAATGAATTAACTAGAATGGATAGGTCGGTCTCTTGTCGAAGACTCCTACACGGAGATTCTGATTTGCGGTAGGAGCTTATCTGAAGATGCAGAATGCACTGGTTAATTAAAAATAATGGTGTTTCTTGTTTTTATTCTGCTGATGAATAAATGTGAGTTGGCAATAAATCTAGGTGTAATATAAAATGTCTCAAGGCATCTTTTCTTTGGTAATTTTCTTAGTTGGACTTTCGTGCAACCTTCATTATGACTATGTTCGACTGGATATGTAATGACTTTTGACCTGAAGTATCCCTTCAGTGTAATATAATGGAAAGCTTTACACATCATTGAGGTGCTTCTGCAGAAAGTTTCTAACCTTAAAAATTTGATCATGAATTAGGATCATAACTGTTCTGTTTTCTGGAAATTTCTGCTAATTGTGCGAAGTTTCTGATTTTTAGATGATAGAATGATTCTTGATATTATTGTTTACTTTTTTGTTGTTTTTGGTATTCTTTGGAAAATATTTGTCTTCTCAAATTAATCTTCGAATTTATAAGCTTTTGGTTTCTTGGTGAGAGTTTTTAGATTTTTAATTTTGACCAAGGAGTTAAGTTTTATGAAAGAAAAGGGTAACATTGATGTATAATATGAAAAACTGTGAATAGTGCAGCAAATAATTCTGTACATAAATGTATTTCTTTTAGTTGACATTTTCTGTTGTTCATTTATGTCTTATTTGCAAGAATATATGAAATGATGAAATGGTCACTCACGATAAAGTGTATTTCACGTCATCATTTTTGATACCTCTCTTCTATAAGTATGCGGTATGTATTAATGACTGGTGGCTGTTTTCACCGCTTTCTGAGTTACTATGGATCTGCATAATCTTAAACAGGCCTATAATTCAATCCTTGTGTATTGCTTTATAATCTACATAGCGCACTTGTTCCGCACAAACCATGATGATGCATGGATGCCATGCAACAGTCCGTTTCTTTTCGTTCAGCTAGCTATTATTTTCACAGTTTGATAGTATTACAGTGACTTAGGTTTTGTTTTTTCTTTTTCTAAGAGAAAGAAGCAGTTAAACATTATTCTGTATGATGATATATAAAAGTGATATGAGGTGATAAGTATTATTGGTCAAGATTGTCCATTTAACTAATTAACAGTCTTGACCAGTGTGTAGACTTAAGTTTTGCATTATTTAATCTCATTGGTTTTGTTAATGTTTAGTCCGGGAACTGTACATATATTCATTAGTTCCCTTAATTATTTTATCCATGATGAAAGATGCCAATTCCTGTTTTAATTAGATTCCTGTTCTCGAAAAGTCCTTTATGCACTTCTCACATTGTTTTTGGTTTACTTAAAATTTTTACTTTAAATAATATCTTTACGAAGTCATAAAAGATTACGCTACGAGATTTTTTCCACATGCAATTTTCTAGTTATCTGGGCTTCTGTATTAGATGAACCATAATATATAGGAGTTTTGGGATATATTCAGAATTAGGTAAAAGTTTGAAGAAATCTGGCTGTTACATTCAATAGTAAGTATAATCGGTTAATTTATGGATTCTTTGATTCATTTTGATACTATATACTAAAATGATTCGGTGATTAGTAGGCATAACTTAGGAAGAAGGGGTTCTAAAATTCCAAATTCCAAAGATTTCTCGTGGTTTTGAAATTATCTCAGTTGTAAAGAAAAGGGGTTTGCAAGGCGACAATCACTTAGAACTTTTCCGTTTCCGGGCTTGACTTGAACCGCCAACCTTTTGGCTAATAACTGATTGCTCTAACCAATTGAGGTTATAGTATTTCCCGCTATTGGAAAGACAATCACTGATAAATAAAAGATTTGGTTAACATTTTTTGAAAAGCATAATCCATCTTTTTATTCTAGAAGGAGAAACTTTATACTCAAATCTACTGATTGCACTTTTTATGGCTATTACGGATTTCCGGCGTTCCGATTTCGCAAAAAAGTAATGTGCAACATGATTGGAAAGAAAATGATAACTAATAAATTGTTTTGAACAACTTAATTAATGTACTTTATCGGTGGGTGAATGAGCCATACAGTTAAGATGTTTGCGCCTGGATTCGTATGGCTAATGTTTATGATTTATCCCTAGCATATATCCTTCATTGTAATTTAGGAAATTGATATGCTTGTATTATTTCATCTATATCAAAAAGAAAAAGAATTTAACTTAAAATTAGAAATCGAAAACTGGATAACATCAATTGTTTGGCCTATTTCGTTTCGTTCAAAAAAGCCCAAATCAAATTAGTGATAGCATTCATGCAAATTTTGTCATCATTTCTTTCTGCATGATCTAGACCAGAAATGCAAGCAGATTTGTATTAGTAATAATTGGAAGTGTATGCGGAAGTTACCGCCCTGTTAGACGACACTTAGAAGGAGAATGAACAAATGCACTAAATTATTATCAAAAAAAAAAAGTGGACAAGAGATTTGAAATTTTAGCCTTTCAATGGTCACTTAAAAATGTTCACTACAACTATGAACTGACAGCAGTTCATTAAAATAGTTAAATCGTTTGCTTACTGAATGATAGAAATTATTATTTCTATCCTTCCTCATTGCATCCATACACAACAATGTTAGCATTTATTATAGAGCAAACGTTAAGAGTAATTGAATTGTTAAGATTGTTGAATTAGGCTTAATCTTATAAAAGTCGAACAATTGAATTAGCATAGAAAAAAAGAAAAAGGTTACTAACGTGACCTGAAATTGTTTCACATTTATGATAAAGTGAAAGAAGATGAAATAAATTAATTACAAACGGTTACACGTAATGTATGAATGTGATAATTTGCCAATTTTCCTGCACTTTCTTCTTAACAGAATGAAATCACTTCATTCCGGAAATTTCTCGAATGATATTGCACCAGAAATGTCAGTATCAGATTAATTGTTTTAATGAAATTTCTCTCCAATATCACATTGTAAGTCTATGATTGATTTACCGCTTTTCCGGTATTTACTTGTTTCTTTCCGATCAAGGATTTTGTAAGTATCATCGATTGATGAAAAGGTACAATTGATTTTTGCAGTTTTTTTTTTCTAAGTCGTAAAAAAAAACAAAACTCTTAAAGAAGGGACAAAATTTTAAGAATGAAAGTATTACGATAGATTTGTGACGTTTCGCCCGTTTTAGCAGAATGCTGAGCAACTGAGCTAATCCCCGCTCCTCCGGTATTTATCAATCGTTCCCGACCAAAATTATATGCAAATATTTTTTGTTTTCATCATTTGAAGGAATATTACCAAATCCGACAATCTGACATGGTTTTTTTTTTTTTCTAATTGTATATGCATAATAATTTGGAAGAACCGGAAAAAGAAGAAAGAGATGATACCGTAGATATTATACCTCAGATGATCGAGAGGAACAGAATGTCTCTGTCGACTCATCAAAATCATATTGGATTGATGAATGCCGAAAAGTTGAACATGAATTTATCGTAGTCTATTTTCAATATTGCTTTTTATCTTTAAATTGAACAAGTTGGATTGAATTAGATTTGTGCCCAAAGCAACCGACTCCGATTGCTACTTTCGTTTCCGTTTATTGAACACCATCCTCATGTAGAAAGACATATTTATTTACATCATCCATAAATAACTTCTTTATATTCATTATTGTTACTATATTATTATTATTATTATTATTATTATTATTATTATTATTATTATTATTATTATTATTATTATTATTATTATTATTATTATTATTATTATTATTATTATT